TAACATTGTTATAAGATATAAATGATTGAAAATGCTCAAATTTGCAATTTTTTACGATTTTCGGCCTGTAACTTTTATTAGATCTAAAAATTTTTTATATTTTTTATGCAATCAATTTCAATATTTAATCTCCATTATTTAATCCCAAAATTAAAAATAATGTTGAAGAAATATTTTCTAAAATTGACTTTTATAAAATTTATTAATATTCGGTAATTATAATTTTTTTCCCTGTTAAGTATAATAAAAATAATTATTTTAATAAAAAATAAAAATTTATTTCTTTACATTTTTTTATTTTTATTTTTATTTTATTTTTCATTACAAAAAACTCGAAAACTTTCTTAATTATTTGATTAAAAAAAAGAATTAATTTTATATAAATATCCAATTTCGATCAATAATAGAAATATTCATTTTCAAAATTCCTCTTGAATTAAGGTTTCCATAAAGGTTTCTTTGTACTCCTACGTATTTGTTATCGTTGCTTACCTTTTATGAATACAAAAGATTCAATTATTTAGAGGAGATTCGACAAGTTAAATATCCAAACAATTCTTTGTAATAAGATGTTTCACAGAACAAATTTTACTTTGTAATATGAAGCGAAATATGAGATAGATATTGCAAACTGAATGATGGAAAATAATATTTATATAATGAAAGTTAAGAAGTTTGTTATTTTATACTTTCATATTGGTTCTTTGAAGAAACAGAAGAAATTCTAATAAGATGCAAGATACTGATTTTATAATGATGTAATGAAAAAGAAGTGTTTCGTAAAATATAATACAATTACATAAGATTTATATTCGCACGGAAGAATAAAAGTGAAAAAAGATAAAATTTGAAAAATTGAGATCAGATTTGAGAAAATTAAATAAAAGATTTATAATCTTAAAGATTTCATCACATTAATTTTTTGAATTTTAGATATTTTTATCTTACGAAAAAGAAATTAATAAAAGTATTAATTACATTCAAATAAAAAATAAAAACTTGAAATACCAAAATAATAAATCAGATATAAAAATATTCTGTTTCTTATAAATACTATATGTATTTGAAATAATTATTTTTCAAATTAATTAAAATAATGAATTTATCTTGAAAATTATTGATCAAGGAATAGAGATTGAAAAGAATCGAAAATTGACAGGATGTCGACAATAGTATAATCGATCTTCAATTGGAGTAATTATATATTCGATTGAGAATATAACATATTAAAAAATTACCTTATCCTAGAATATTCGAGAAATCCTTTTTATTTTATTATTTTTTTAAATATATTCTATTTTTTTAAATAATCTCTTATATAATAATATAAAATAAATAAATTGAAATGAAATAGTGTTGAAATTCTTAAAGCATATATATCCTTTTATATTTGCATATATATCCTTTTAAGAAAAATAATTAAATTTGATTCGTCTTCGTAAGCATATTTAAATAATTTTTTATATTTTCATTTCTTCATAAACATTTTGTCTTGGTAAAATAATTAAAATAAAATAATTAATTCAACATTATACTTGTCATAATTTTTATCGTAACAAAAATTATATAATTATTTACGAGTTTATACAGACTCATTCATAATAAAATCACTTTTTCAATCTTTCTGGACTACGTGAATTAAAATAATTATACTTATTATTAACAGTACGAACTCTCAAACTTTCGAAGCCGCAAGAAATTTATCGTGACATATCACCTTTGATGGCACATATCACCTTTATTACAAACATACCAAGCATAATTATTCATGATCTTTACATTAATCTTTGGCCAATGATCTTCCTTCAATATCGACAGTATCCACACTGTCAAAGGCAAGAGAAACTTAAATGGATTTTGGACTAATCTTGTGAGATAGTTCCAGTTTATCATTCCAGTTGCATAGAAGCCTTATTATATATATAATTTAATACATTCTTTGAATATTATAAGGAAATATAAAGAAGAATTTTAATCAATGGGATAATTAATAATTAAGTATTCGTATAAAAATAATATACTAAAAATTTTCATTATCTTTTTTTTAAAAAAAATAAGAATCATATAAGTAAAATTTCATAGCATTAAATTCAATATAATAACATTATAAATAAAATACATAATATGAAAAATATTTTAAAATATAGGTATAAATGAAAAAAATTGAAAATTGTTAAATACGAACTGCTTCTTACTAAACTAAAATCAACGTGTCATTTTTCATCTCTAATGAAGTTAATTATAAGTTAATTATTATGTTGGGATACAATTACTTCTAGATAAGTTTCATACTTGGAAATTTTAACCAAAAATAATTGCATAAATCCGAGTTATTAAAATCTTTTAAAAAATTTTCGATTTATTATAAAAAATTTACTATGAAATAATTACAAAAAACAAAATAGAAATGTAATAAAAATAAATGCAAAATTACCATTCTATCAATTATTAAATATAGATTGTGAATATATTCATGAAATATCTTTGAAGGGTTGTAAAAGAAAAATAAAAATTAATATATAAAAATGTTGGTTTATTTATTAAGTTATAATCAATTGATGTTCGCATTAAATAAAATGAAACATGAGAAAAAATAGACAATTTTATTTTCATCACATTCTGTTTCTATTTCGTTTCATTTTAAATTCCTTATAATTTGATAAAAACTCAATCAAAGTTCTTGTATATTAATTTTTATATTCATTTTGGTTTAATCTAAAATTAATCTATAAATATGTTAACATTCTTTATATTTATTTATTTTATTATCGGATTAAAAATAGAAGAGATTCGAACTACTTAAGACTTATACTTTTAAATATATTAAGATGAAATCTTAAATATTAAATATCTCAAATATTCATAATAAATCATTTCTTAAAATTTAAAAAAAAAATTTTTCTTCAAATTTTTTTTTAATAAATTTGAATTTTTAAAAAATTATTTTAAAGAAATAAATTAGTAATTCTTGATCTAAATATCAAAAATATAAAGATTTCACGTAATATCAAACGTAGTTTCTAACTCCACAAATTTCACAAACATTTCCATCAAACCACCTAACATGAAACACAACAAGACTATTCCACTCAAAATAACAAAATAAATTTTTACATTAATTATCTTCGTCATTCTATACACAACAACAATCTTAATCAACAATCTGATGAATACAAAAAAGGGAAATATCATCCAACATGTCCTTAATCATACAGATTATAATGATCTGGGTGATTAAAAAACAACTCTATTATATCTTTATAAAATAAAGTTCAATTAGAACAAAAGATAGTCAATGAGATAATTTGGCCAATATTAGACTTGTCTTTGCGAGACATCTTTTGTTTTAATCGAATTTATCGATCTTTTATCACTTAAGAACAAAATCCAAACTCTGATTTATGAAACGATTATGATAGCTCTAAATTCTATTACTTTTGAATAGCTTTAGCATTCTCAATAGTTTTGAGTTTCAATTTCTTAGTAATAATTTACGATTGTTCTCAATAGTTTCAAATGCAATAACAATGGCTATTTCGTAAATCACATATATGCATATAAATCATCGAAAAAACGATTGCAAAGATCATAGCCCACATTGCAACGCGGCCTCGGGAGGATCCATTCTTGAAAACTGTCTTTCCAATACGATCATTAATTCTTTCCTTCTTAGTTACATTTTTATTAATAATGTGAATTATTTATAAGAAAAATAAGTGTAATAAAATAATAGCACAAATAATAAAACATATCATAGATTTTGTTGTTTGAGAATGGAATGGTTTACGTATTTTCGTATGCTGAATCCGAATTTGGCCGTAAAAATTATTTATCATGTTTTAATTCATGAAATTTAAATTGAAATATATAATTTTAATAGCAATAATAGATATAAAAATATTTGTAAAGTAGAAATATGCAAACAATCATATTCAAAATTATTATTGGTGAGGAGGATTTCTGCTGAAAGGAATTCGAGGTTGATTATATTTCTATATCTATTTTCTACTATAACATATTTTCTACTATAGTAGATATAGGATATAAGATAGGATACAGTATAATTTCTTAATTGGCTAAAAAGATTGTTTATATTACTCTATTCATATAATATTGCATAATGAGAAAAGCAAGCACGAAAACCTAATAACAAAAACATAGCAAGATATTCAACTTCTAAGCATTCTGAAATTTTTTAGAAAAGTGCTTTATCTGAATATAAAGATCTTAAGACTTTATGATTACGTTAAAGTTGGAGCGCCATATAAAAGCTTCTAAAACTGCATACATAGACGAATACACAATCCCTGAAAACGTTGAATTCCAAATATTTGATCTATTATCGATTATCACTTAATTGTATTATATATAATAACTCAATAAAAGAACGAAAGTAATTTTATAATAATTAACTTCAATTATAATCTATTAATTCATATTGTTCGATAATTAGAATACAATATTTTTAACAATAATATTTCATACTATCTCTATATATTGAGCTAATGTGCTCGAATATACAGATTTTTATTTTCTCTTAGAAAATATCTTTACAAATAAATATAATAACGATTATAAATTATTATTAATTGTATGTAAGTAAATATAACTGAGATTGCTTTTGTTTCGATGTTCGCTATGATTAATGATTCGTAAGCGAATATGCAAACCTGGATGATAACATTTAGATACGTTAAAGAATTAATTAGTTCAATGTGTATATGTAACATCATAATCAATATATTTGCAACTTAAAATAAAATGGGCAAAGAAAAAGAATTCTTTATGTCGCTCCATAGAATTTCTCAGCAACGCATAATATACGAATTAAAATTCGAATTCCTTTATTATATATATATGCATTTATATACACATGGAATAAAAATCTTTCTTCATCAATATCAATTTCAATTACATAGATAAATATCGAAATGCCACTTTGTTATTTCGAAATTACACGACTTATATAGAGGAAAAAGAATCATCGAGGTTAATTTTACCTGGGTGGCTGTGTAGGGCGAGTTTTTGCCAGGAAATCCTTGGAGAAAGCCGTCGACGTCTTGTGTGGCAACAGTGGTCAGGTTTAGAAGCAGGGTGTCTTCAGTGGTGATTGCGTCCTTCCCCTCCATACGAGACTAATCAGCAGTCCGGAGCATCCGAAGCGCCCCCCAAAGTCGACGGCTACGTCATGCTCCTTCTCTCCTCTCTCGACCATAGGATTCCAAGAAGGCTTGATCCGTGCATGGAAATCTTCCCTTGATTCCCTTGATTCCACGAATTATGATCTACCTCAATCATTCGTTCTTACAACTCGCACCATCCAACTCTCGCAAACCTGAAATCATATTCCGATGATTAGTTTTATTGAAGAAATGAGGTTGAATATATATAGAAATAAGGTAGTTGGATAGATATATGAAATATTAATATATAAAGATGATGTGTACTGTTCTTGGTTAAGATTGGAATTTGATTACGGACTAGGAATTTGTAATGATGTAGATATATTTCGATGGAGTGAGCTAAATGGATACATTATTTGAAAAGTTCAGATTGTTTCGAAAGGGTTGATGTTACTTGGAAAACTTAGAAATACTTTGTGCATTGTGATTGATAATAGAAAATTTAGAGAAATAAGAAAATGATATATATGATTGAAATTTTGCATATATATAATTGAAATTTTAAAGATTTTAAAATTATATTTTGTACACAATTGAATGTCGAATTATTTGATATTATTATTAAAATTATTATATAAAATTTATTATGAAATTAATTTAAGATATATAGATTTTAATTATTAAATAGTTAATCGATCGCAAAATTTAATCGAAATAAAATGAAATCAATGCCATCGATGAAATAATTTCAAAAATTTTAAATTCTTTATATTTAAATAAATATGTTAAATAGATGTATTAATTTTATTTCTTCCTTATTTGTTTTTTATGTTTGTTGAGAAAATAATGCAAATTAATAAGAAAATGAGAGGCGAAATGAGAGCGTAATTAATTTTCAAGTTTAGTTAATTACGATTTTAATTGCTTTTATTGTTATTATTAAACCACTTTCAGTTTGGAAATACAGTGTTACAATACGAATGCAAATATAAATTAAGAAGAGATGCGAGAGTAATACATTATGCCACCATATTGAAACGAAATTTGTATTTTCGTTTGAATTATTCGAATATCTGAAATTATTCAATATTATGCTTTGCCTTTGAGACGAAAACTTGATGATGACGATATTTAATAGACTTGAATGAATTTTTAAATGCATTAAAAACAAATAAAATATAAACACAACAAATAATAATATAATTTCTTACTTATCTTCATCTTAAGTCAATAATTCTTTAGGATTTATATTAATTTTCTTTTAAGATAAATATAAAATTGTTTTTAATTTAAAAAAAATTTGAATAATTTTTTTATAATTTTTGTCTCAGAAAGTCATTTAAATATTTAAATATATTATATACATTATTTAGAAACCGAAAAACAGATAGAAAACGGAAAATGTTTATATTTTTATTTAGATTTATATTAATATATTATTTTAATTTAAAATTATATAGAAATATATTTAAAAATATACAAAATTAAATAATAATTAACATATTCCAAAAATTTTATAACAAAAATTATTTAATATAATAACATTATATAAAAATTTAGAATTAAATTATATTGCAAAATGAAAAATTAAATTATATTAAAATAATAAAAAAAAATTAAATTTATTAAATAATATTAAATTTTTGCTATTAATACTTAAAAATGAAATGAAATTTTATATCATTTCTAAAAAAATATATATATAATAATTACTGTGTGTAATTCGATGATTATATTTAAACTTTGAAGTCGTTGTGGTTGAGCTTCTCAGATCTCAAATGTGATTCATGGAAAGTACTATATTTCTTAGTGTGTTTATATTTCATTTTCGGAATCGTGTTTATTCTATAGATTTAATTGAAATTATTACGATGAAAAGGCTGAAAAAAATAATAATTGTAGTTTCTGTCCGTGAAATTTATAAGTATATTTAATATTATAAGTGTACATTAGTGTATATTAGAATTACATTACTTTGTGGTTTAGTTTGAATTAAATATTATAGTTATTATAATATTATAGTTATTATAATATACTACACATTAGTAACTTATAGATTTCTGATATATTAAATTTCTTTATTTATTTTTTTTATTCTTTTAATTGAATACATTATATATTATTTGATATGAATGATATGTTAAAATGTTTTTATAGAATTTTAAATTCTTCAATTATAATACTTTTTCTTGATATTTTATGACATTTTATAACATAAATTACTAATATAAATTAATAAAGAAGTTGTAGACAAACAAAGAAATTTTACAGGAATTTTTTGAATTTTGTGATGAGCTATTTCGAATCAGAGAATTCATATTTTTCAACAAGGAGATTTCTTCATTCCTTGATCATTTCAATTTTCTGTGGATATGAAGTTTTAATTTCAAATTAACAACTAGAAATAATAATTTATAATTAGAAAAAAATCTTTTTTTTTTTAATCTTGTAAATTAAATAATAATTCTTGACAATAAGAATTTTTTCATAATTATAAATAAATTGTATCGTTTATTCAGAACGAAAAACAAATTATTCAAATTATATATATTTGAATTTAAAAGCATTGTAATTGAAATTTTGGAAATTTCAAAATAACAATTTTGAAAGAGATATGAATATACGAATTAAAAGCTTTGCGATAAAATGATTGCAATACAAAGTTGGACTGAAACTGAACTTTACTGAAATTATGTAATTATGTATGAAAAGACAAAACATTTTTCCAAAATTTTTTTATATTTTTCATGAATTTATATGATTATAAATGAATAATATTAAACATATTATATTATTTAATATAAAATATAATACAAAATATTTAATTTTATGAATCAATAATTGAATTTACTATTTTATAGAAAAATAATATTGTTTTATTAATTTATTTATTATTTAATATTATATAATATTATTATTTTTCTAAAACTCCCATAAATTATTTTTATAAATTTTTGTATTTTTAATCGTTAAATATCATGTACAAACAATTATATCATATTATATATTATTATCATATATTATATTGTAAAGACGCTCATATAAATTATACTCGACAATAGTTTACATAGTAAAAACTCAACTAAAGTTCGGATAATCAAATATTATGTAAAATTTTCTTCATATAATAGAATTTTATTATATATTAAAATCTGTATATTATACATTTATTTGTAAACATATATTTAAATATATATTTAAATGTTCAATAACATATGAATATATATAAAATAAAATAAAATAAATAAAATAAAAGTAAGTGATAGAATAAATTAGATAAATAATTAAAGAAAATATTGTTTCTAAACCTTATTTTTCTTTTTTATGAATATATTTCTAATTTGATATATCAAAATTAGTTTTTATGAAATTGAGATATTAACATTTAAAAATATATTAAAAAAAATTTTAAATAATTGATCCAGAAATTTTTACTGTTTCAAATTTTGTTTCTAATACAAGAAAGAAAGAATTAAAGTTTTTTTTTTATAGAATATACAATTGTTTATAAATTAGATTTAATTATATTTTTATAAAAATAAAAAAAAATAACTTTGATGTTTTACCATTTTATACCGAAATATAAATTGATAAAATTTATATAATTGCTAATAAAACTAAATCCTTTTAACCTATTATCCATTACTTTGAAACAAGAAGCAGAAGGTTCGATTTAGTTTCATTGTCTAATCGGACCCTAAGTTGAATAGTAGTCTGAAAGTCTCTGGAATCACTGGTGTTGCGCTACATTAGTCTCATTAATTCCAGAACACATCCTGATAGTTAAATTCGATCGCGGTCCACTTGACCTTAAATTTATCTCTAATTTAAAGGATGCTCCCAACACTGGACTCCGTAATGGAGGTGCCTGCTACCATTTTCACTAAATGCATCGAAAATTGGAAAGTGACGAAATTCGAGTAAAACAAATATATTATATATTATATATATTGGTGAATGTTTCCTCTGAATATCGATTAGATTGAACTCTTTGTCGCTCAATATTTCAAAAATTAATAAATGAAATTTCTTCTTATGAATCGAAACTAAAGATTTATATGATTTATTATTTTTTTCTCTGATGGAAAAAACCATAAGATAGTTCATTAGAAAAAACAATTTATTGATAACATAAATCATTTAGAAAAGAAAAGACTTATATAAAATAAAATAATATTTTTTTATGACATTGTAATTTAATTGTTATTTAATTTTTTTAATTTATTATTATTATTACAGTAATATTAATTGTATAAAATATGAAGTAAGATATAGAACAATAAAAAATGTGATTATAATTAATATTTGATAATTAACTATTTGATAATTAAATAAATATTTATTAATTATATATAATTAATTAAATATTTGATAATTATCAATAAAACGAACTTGAATTTATTATTATTTAATAATTATTTTATACATACATTTTTCTTAATATTTATTAATTTTTTCTCTCTATTTTTTATATTATTTTATATTATTATTTTATATTATTATTTATATGTTACATATTTAAATTATTTTATATTTTATATTATATATTTTTTCCCTCTCATTTTACTAAATCGAAATCATATATCTTTAATATATAATAATGTATGCAATAATGTATCGAATTTATTTATTTAAATTATATATGATACTTTTTTCATATCTTTTCTTGAAGTTATTAAAATTTTTTTATATTAATAAATTTGAAGTTTTATTAATATAAATATATTGTTATTAGTAAAAATTTTTAGTTATTTTAAGTTATTTATTATTATTGATATTTACAAGCTTTAATATATCTTTTATTATTACATATAATTTCTTAATTATAAATAATGCACATTAAATTCGAATTCTTGGTTGATTCTTTCGATTAATTCATATAAATGGAGCTTCATTTTATTTTTTAATAATATATATTTATATTAGTCGTAATATATTTTATTGTTCATATAAATTAAATAGAGTATGAGGAATTGGAATTTTAATTTTATTATTATCAATAGCAGCAGCATTTATAGGTTATATTTTACCTTGAGGTTAAATATCATATTGAGGAGCAACTGTAATTACAAACCTACTTTCAGCAATTCCTTATATTGGAAATACAATTATATTATGAATTTGAGGTGGA